CATCCGCATATCAATAAATTCATCGTATTTTTACTTAACATTAGTAACAGCTCAACTTGATACACTTACCGTATTAAAGCGATAGTAAATTAAATGTTTTAAATCTTTGCACATTCTGATTTGTCGCATTAATTTATATTTATATCGATACATTCCGGTTAGTTGACCAACGTGTGCAAAAATATATTGCAGTCCATCCGCGAGTTGAAATGCATCAACATTATTCAAACGATATTGTACGTGAGAATCGATTATTAATTTCGTCAAACGCAAGATCTCACGACATAAATGGAAAGCTGGAAAAAATGGAATTTTCGTAACAAGCTTGTACCAAGTCTCTGTAAAATATATATTGTTTCTTTACGTCTTTAAATCCACAACTCACCATTTCCAAATCTAGATTTCTTCCTTTCTTTCGTCGTGAGAGTTTTGACTGGTTTTAGATTAAAATTATAATCCAAATGAAGATAATTCAAGTTTTTTCTATGAATAAGTAAATTTAACATATTGTATCCTTGCCTACAGACTTGCAGACCAGCTTCGACCCAATCAATTGTAGTCGTTTGGAAAAACTTTGTGGATTTAAATGACCGGAATAGATAACGTTTCTTCTGTGGTTTAGGATGTCTGTGTTTCAACGCATTCAACACAAAGTATTTCAACAACTTTTGATAGCTAACTCGAACTTTAACAGGCTGTCCTGGTGGGCAATGTTCTCTATACCAAGATTTCACTAAAGGAATGTCAATGGCTCTTCTTGTTCTACCAGAACGAGTATTAAATGGCCTTGGTGCCCATAATAAAGCTATCCCGTTCGCTGTATTGTCTGTATATAATGGCGTTTCTTGAAGAAATGGTTGCACTTCCTCAGGAAGTACAAAATCTTCGTCATCTTCGATCTGTGGTTCCACAGTCTGAAGAAAGAGATATATTCTCCCATATAACTAGGTTATTACTTTTTATTCACCGATTATATAAGATACTTACCTTAAGGGAATTTCTATGAGAAATGGGATTGATCAATGGATCAAAATAAAATGCAGGTAAATCAGGATCTTCGGTTTTTATATAAACAACATTTGGCGCGTGGTACCTGCAAATATTATTTAAGAATACGATTAGGACACCAAAGAAACTGAATTTTGAAAAATTTTAACTGTAGATGAAATCAGTGACTGTAGGTGATTTCAGCAGTTGCCTTTTATACTTTACAAAGAATACGAATAACAATCACCATTGTAATTCTCTACCACACTGCTAGTGAGACTTTGATATACTAAGTACAGACGAGTCTCAAAACTTGTGTGGAAATATTTATTATACGTATTTATATTGAACGATATTATTACTTACCATGATAAATGTACAAAATGTGGCATGTTATTGTATAAATAAGGAAACGCAATGCGGTATTCTGTTCTTATGGGCTGCCTAATGATAATTTTATTAATATCGTTAAACTCATTCCAATCTTCGTCGGCTGCATTCGAATCCTTTACCAATGGTTCAAACTTTGGACCACCCGGTATAGCCATATTTAATGCCTTTGCAGTGAAAAACGATTTTGGGTCAAACAGATAAAAAAAGTTTTGGTCAACTAAATCTGTCAATAACTGATTGGCTAAACGATATAAAGTCGCCATCTGCGGTAATGTCAAATTCCACCTTCGATAAGTAGATCCATTTACGTGCCTGGAATATTATTGGCTATTAAACACGGTTTTGATAAATAATATTTACATTGTACAACGTGTGTCACAAAGTGACGATTCAGTTTAGCGTTTTGTCCAGCTAGTAATAATTCGTAGTCTCATCTCGGATAAGACTATCGAATTACAGTAGCCATCAACTCACATGTTAGTTGATTTCAGGACCCCTACGCGATTCATCATGAAATAGTATGATATTCTGTTCTACGTGCTATTATAGACACAATCGATATAAAAATAAATAACAATTCATCAATATTTAACGCTTACTTTGTACCAACAAGTGGTTTGTGTTCGTAAAACCACGACGCCACAGATTTATCTTCTTCTGAATCCAATTCAATTTGAATAGCTTCCAATGGTTCTACGTCCAAAACATTGTCTGCGTAATCTAATGGAGGTTCTTCATCGTCGAATGGTGGAAATCTCATTCTTTTGAAGTGTCTACGATCCCTTTTTTCTCTTCGCATCATAATCCACATTGTACTAGATCATAAAAAATAAAGAGAAATAGGCACGCGTTATTTATTACTGAATAGCAATTTTAAATAAACAGATGTTTTTCTTAGCTTACCCCCATTGTGCAATATATACAGGTTCAATAACCCAAGGAATTTCGTTTACAAACGTAATTGCACCTGTAATATGATACAGCACCTTCACATCTCGTATTTGTTCCCAAGGCATTGGCATATTTTCTAAAAGCTTCATAACTGCATGAGGCATGTATTTCAATGCTCTAAAACAAAATTAGTAAAATAAAGAAATTGCTTTCGCTTTCATGTTTTACATCAATGAATATCAACAGTGTGAAAAAACATCCAATTTTTGATATATACATGTAAATACTTGCCCTAAATAAACACGTTTGTCATGTCTATATTTACGACTGCTCATGTCTCCATGATCTCTAATAATTTTTCTTATATGTTCTGGAGGCATATGTTCTTTTTGAGCGTCTACGAAACCAAACTTTCTTTTTTCTGCAAATCTTTTTGATTGAAGTTGTTGCCATTTTTGAGCTAGAATTATACAAATAACATCAATGTACAAAAACATAAGTCAATTTCAATTTTATATAAACATATAAAACAAAGCTTAATGTCAAAAATAATTTTACAGTTTCCTTAAAAATTTTAAAAATATTAATTCTTATTCACCCTTTTCTTGAAGTTTATCCTCCGATAAAACTTCAGGTTGTTTAGGAATTTGTGGCAATGGCGGTCCTGCTATTGCTTGCATATGAGCATGATGTGCAGCTTGTGCATGTGCAGCTGCTTGAGCATGAGCCTGAGCTGCAGCTAATTGTGCATGAGCCTGTTGTTGAGCCATCATTGTCGCCCATGGGTTCGGGCCCAGCAAGTATGGTGGAATCGACATTTTCTCTTAAATTAATGACTAGAACAAAATAAAAAACTAAATTTATTACAAAGAATATATCCTGGTATCAGATATCAGACATTTTAGTAAAATGATTGTACCTAACATGAAAACATGTGAAGTGTATAGTAATAAATATTTTTAATAAAATATTACTTCGATTTTATATGCATATGTACATAAAACAATAAACAAAGCATATTGATACAATTCAAATTTGTTCTAAATTAAATTAAATTCAAATGAAATGAATTCAGATTTCAAAGAAAAAAACAAATAAATATAAAACGACAGAATGTAACCAATACAATATGATAATGTAAATATATTATATATACATGTGTATATATATATATATTATTATTATTATGTCAAGTAGCAAAACATGTAATATAAATGACACTACGAATTTAGTTTGAATAATATTTTATCTTCTATTTAAATGAAATATTGATTTTTTTATTATATAAACTTACGTTGATTATACGATAAGCCAAGCACTCAGCACAATCATAAATCAAACTAAATTACATAGACGTTCCACTCTAGCAAGTATTAGTGCACACGGTGAAAACGTGGCAACACGATTTTAGGAACCATTTACATTAATCGTGGCTGCGACAACTTCATAAGCTACGTATAAAAATAAGACAAGAAAATGAAAAACTTTGCCTAACTTTCACTTTTAGGAGATCAAAAGTTATTAGACTTCTTTTTATCATCTGGTAGTTTTCATCTAGTTACATCAAAACATACAAGTTTTGTATATTGAACAATCCACTGGTTTAAAGATCAGAGTATTTTTAGTATATATTTTTTTATTTTAGTGCCACTTTCTGCGTTACCTCTCAATATTACACTTAATGACGTAATTTAAATTTGCCACCGGCAAAAAGGTTAAAACGTTAAAAATACTGAAAATATTTTATAAATATGATGATATTAAAAATATTTTGAGTTTTAATTTTTGTATCAATAAACGTAAACGTTGTTTTCGTTTAAAAGGACCAATCGGATTATACTTATGCAAAAATTTGTATGGTGTCATACTAATCTTTAAAATACACCAAAAAAATACTTTTATATAAATAGATTTCTCAACTTGTATTCTTGGATTCAAATCGTTGGAAAATATCAGACAATAAAAAAAGGGCAATAATCTTTGATCTCCTACAATAAAATTTAATTAAAACTTTATATAATAAATATGAAACAAATATGAATTTCATAAATATGAAACAAACGTTATATATGTATATACATTATACACACGGATATGTTTCACTGCATTGTGATTGTTTCGTTGTTAGTATCATTATTTTTTATCATGAAAACATACACTGTTACAAATATATCATAAAATTACAGAAAGCCATCGATTATATTTAGGTTATATTTACATTTAGATTGAATTCTTTCACATTTATATCGATAGTTTCTATCGACTGTTCTATTGTTGCCAGTTTATATTCAGCTTATTGTCAGCTTTACACTCGTACCACTATGATCGTACAAAATTTTGTTATAGATGGCGTTATGTTATAGATGGCGTATTTATTGTTGTATATTGAAAAATATAATAAAATTAAAAGAAAAAAAAGAAATTTTAATATTGAATTTAATAAAAGTTTTTTATTTTAACTCAATACCTTCTTTCCTAATGGTAAATTTCTAATAGTAAAATTTTAGAGTGAATTAAGTACCGATTTATAAATATTATTGTTAAGAGTTTAATAAAGCTAACTGACTTTATAAATATTATTAAGAGCTTGATAGAGCCAACTGACTTCAAATTTATTAAATTTACGTATAATTCCAATTTTGTTTTTATTTTTGAAAATAGAACAAAGAACTAGTTGAAGTTTCTCGTATTTGTTGTATACTTTATGGTAGATTGAAGTTGGCGTTGGCATTCACGTTGGGGCATAGTTTGGTGGCAGAGTGCTTCAATCGGTTTGTGTTTCTTTTTTCGAAATTTCCCGTATCTCTTTCTAATTGTTTTGTCACAAGAACAACAATTAAGAAAGAAAAAAGAACAGAATCTTCGCGACAGCGTATATAATTGTATATAGAAGTTTAACGATTGACGTTTATCAATAGCTTAATCTGTCCATTAGAAAATCAGCGTGGGACACGCAAATAAAGACAAGTAAAATACACGGTCGCATGAACGTAGATACGGAGATACCCACGCTATTCGAACGCATTACGATCAATTAAAATTATTGATAGGAAAAATATTTAAATGTGATTATATCGTGAGGAGAATGGCTGGAATATTTGATATAGAGTTACACGACGGAGACTCCATAAATGAAGACGAATCGGACGATGATATTATCGAAAATAGAGAAGTTAGTTTTTTGTTAAATTTCTGTGATTGTAGATTGCTATGCCAGATCTGTTATGTACGTTTTTTTTTTTTTTTTCAGGATGAATACAATCATACCACAAATCTAAATACGGCATTAGAGTAAGTGATCAAACACTTGAAAATATGTAATTGGTATTGAATTTATTGTCATATCATATTTCCTAAATAAATACACAATTACAACTTTGTAACTTTAAATGTTTCATCTGCTTTCCTCCTTGAAAAGTAGTAATATCACATATTTTACAGATCTGATAATTTGGAAAGAGTACAATTGTCAGAACAGAATGTGAACGAAGGCAGAGAGAAAACTGGTCCGCAAGATTTTGAACTCTGTAAAATTCTTGGAGAAGGTGGATATGGAAAAGTCTTTCAAGTAAAGAAAGTAACTGGGAAGGATAAAGGCAGTATTTTTGCTATGAAGGTAAATACTTTTATATTTATGCGTGCATGCGAAAAAACTTTATAGTTCTTTATTTCCATAGGTACTAAGAAAAGCATCTATCATACGAAATCAAAAGGACACTGCTCATACAAAAGCAGAAAGAAATATTTTGGAAGCAGTGAAAGTATGTAGATCCTATCTTTCAGAATTTTAGTATGGCATTTATTTGCATGGTTCGTTTTTCAGCATCCATTTATTGTAAATTTAATGTACGCATTTCAAACTGGTGGTAAATTATATTTAATTCTGGAATATCTTTGCGGAGGAGAACTTTTTACGTACCTAGACAGAGAAGGCATTTTCCTAGAAGATACTGCTTGGTAAATAATTAGTTTTTTTAAGTAATTTTGGGTGATATAAATATACGTGTACTTTATTCTATTTGTAAATAAATCTTATACATACATTAATAATGATAACAATATATATTAATGTATATATAACAAGTTGTTATATCTTTATATTTTATATTTATAGTTTTTATTTGTCTGAGATTATACTCGCGTTGCAACATCTACATAATCAGGGTATTATATACAGGTATTTAATCATTACATAATACATCTAACAATTTATTGTATATATATCTAATTGAATTAATTATATTTATAGAGATTTAAAGCCAGAAAATATTTTGTTAGACGGCGAAGGCCATGTTAAATTAACAGATTTTGGTCTTTGTAAAGAACACATAGAAGAAGGTGCAGTAACACATACATTTTGTGGAACTATAGAATATATGTAAGTAAAAGTTTTTTGTTATGCCAACTCATTGTTGAAATAATTAAATTGTTGATTATAAACATGATTAATAATGTATATATTACAATTGTTATTGTTGATGTGATTAGGGCACCAGAAATTTTAACAAGAAGTGGACATGGAAAGGCAGTTGATTGGTGGAGTTTAGGTGCTTTAATGTTTGATATGCTCACTGGAATGGTACGCAAATTAAATAACAAATAACAAAGTATTGTTAAAATATAGATATTGAATCAAGTTACGTAGTTATGTGAATTTTAATCCTTATAGCCACCATTTACTGGAGATGACAGAAGAAAAACAATTGACAAAATTTTACGCGGAAAGCTATGTTTACCTCTGTACCTAACATCCGATGCGAAAGATTTAATACGAAAGTTATTAAAGGTATTTCGTCAACTTCCTCTTTGCAAAATGATCATTATTTGTTTATGTACTTATTCGTTTGTATGGTGCATACGAATAATTAATATTTTCTTTGATCAATTACAGAGACAAGTGATGCAAAGACTAGGATCAGGGCCCGAAGATGCTGAACAAATTATGAATCATAATTTCTTCAAACATATTAATTGGCAGGATGTAATTTCACGAAAGTTGGAACCTCCTTTTAAACCGTCGTTAGTAAGTATCGTTAATTGAAATAATATCCATTGCAATAATATAATATAATATAATGCTATAAAATGTTTGCAGAAAAGCGCCGATGATACATCGCAGTTCGATGAACAATTCACGGCAACTGTGCCAGTCGATTCACCAGTAGAAAGTACTTTAAGCGAATCCGCTAATATGATTTTTCAAGTAGGTTTCAAAATATATTGTAAATACATCACATTCCAAGTAAAATAATGAAATTATACGTATATTCTACAAAATATTTGTAGGGCTTTACGTACGTAGCACCCAGTGTCTTAGAGGAAATGTGTGCACAACCAAGAGTTGTAAATGCTAGAAGCCCGCATAAAGGTCTGTTAAATACAGGATTTAGTGGAAGTCTTCGCAGTTTGTCATCAAGATCACCGGATGCCCATCTTCGTACAGCATCTCATTTTCATCAACATAGGTATTTTCAAACTTGATATTCCATTGACCATCTCAAGAGACAAAAGTATCTTATATGTAAACTCAACGGTAGTTACTATCCATTTGAAATATGTATTTCTGTACTTGAAAAGCTACTTTTTAATTTCTAGGCATCACGTTGTAGGTTCAAATAATATGGAAGATACCGAAATGGCGGATATAGATCCGCTTTTTAATTTTTAAGCATTGCATAATAAAATTCAAACGATATGGAAGATATTAAATTAATAACGGATCATTTATAATGAGATACATATGAACAATCGGAGTAAACGTTGAATCTTCCATTTTAGGTTTAATAAATCATTTATAAAATTATGTCCCAGGTTATTTGTTCTTTGTTCTAACAGTTCAATTATTACGTTTAATTATCAAATTTATTGCGATTTGTTTACGTATAAATATATTTAAATATAAACAATTTTAAACGTCAAAAGAGGTTACGCTTACGGGGCATAGGTGCTACTCGCATAAAAATCGTATGTAGGCCATGCAATTGCTCTAATGCGACTGATAATTGTTCACAGTGTAAAGAAGTAATATTGTAACATGTACTTTTGTTATGTAAATATGTCCAGTTTTCCGATAATAAGTACATTTTGTTCAAATAAGCTGCTGCATCATTGAAAAATCCGAAAGACATTTTTGATGACATATCGTACTGTTGCAACGATTAATTCAAGTTTTTAAAATGTTCCATTCATCTACAAATACGAGTTTATCGTTAGTATATAAGATGAAATCAAGAAATTTAGTTTAGCTTGCATATATTTTGAAGTTCGATCTGGAAAATGGATCTATTGCCTCTTTGAAGTGCATTGCTCGTGAAAATATATAAATCGTGCAACTTTTCCATTACTTTTTTTTCAATAAACTAAGTAAGTTAAAAAAAAAAGTTGTTTACGTAAACATATACATTCCAAAGTAATTTACAAATTTCGTAGACAATGAACATATTGAATTTATATAGATCATGTTGATTAAGACTAGAATATTGGACACAGTTAAATTTGAAAGTCTTGTTCTGCCATTAGAATAAAATTAATTTCTTAGAATCGGAGAAAAGAGGAGAGCGTGTGGAAAAATATTAGAAAGACAAAAGAAAGAAAAGTAACAATATACAAGCAAAAATAATGTATTGACTTTTGTTATAGTAGAATCGGAGAAAGATTTATAGACAGATAGATTTTCCGTTGTCGTACAGTGATAATCGTCTCAAATGGCAGCACGTTTTATAAGAGAAAAAAGAAAAAAAAAAAAACTAGAAGAATTCATGGTCGTATGTGATATCTCACTTTAGAATTAAAGTTTTAAAAGTATATTTTACAGTAATGGTTAATAGAGAAAGATAGAATTAATTGAGATATTTTATACGACCTTTGATTAAAATTTGCATGTTTATGTTCCTCTCAAGCTGTTATCGTTCAATTATTTAAATCATATGTATATTTCACTCGAACAAATTTATATATCGTTTCGTTAATTATAAGTGACATCGGAGGATGTCAATGCATTTAAGTTATACGTCATAATACGATAGTAGATCACCATTTTCATTTAGATCCGATTCTACTTTTTACATATAATCGTTGTGAAAATGACAATTATACAAAAAATTTTAACTGCCCAAGTGTTCACAGCTATCAGCTGGATAGTATTAAATATTCCATAGAAAAACTTAATGCGCGCTCCACCTACCCATGCGTGTATAGTAATAAGTATGTAAAATTCTTGTTAATAGCTAGTTACGTTATAAAAGTAAAATGTTAAGAGTGAGAAATTAGCATCTTGTAAGATAAATGTACGAAGGTACGAAAATGCTCTCTTACTTCTTTATATCTAAAAATACAGTATGCTAATGAATTTATGTCTGTGTACATGTCTTTCAATCATAAACATATAACATTAAAAAGAAGTGAGCAAAGCATTTTTAAACTTATATGCCTATACATTCAGTAGCATTATTTAACTTAATTTAGTAACTATTTTGCTGTTTTGGTATCTGTAATTAAAAAATATCGAAAAGCTTAATTTCACACGAACGTTTATCTACTATATGGTACTGTTTAAAATTCACACAGTATTTTTAAATTAAATCATTCACGTTGTATATAATGTTACAATAGAAATTCTGTTTCTGTATTTATTAAATAGTTATATACTCTTGAGAACATTTTTCAAAACCGAAACCCTCACAGGTATTAATGTTACATATTCATGATACCGATTACATTTATCAGTTATCCGCAAATGAAATAACAAGTCTAAAATAACATTTATGTAAAGAATCTTTTTAAACAAACTTATTCCATGTAGAATATTTATGAAAATTTAATTCCGGCAAATCATACACTTGAAATTTATTAAATAGTTACATACATTATGCTTTCTATCGGAGAGACATGCAAAGTGAGTCATGTTAAACTATAGCAAATAAAATTGAAAAAGTATTTGTTGAACTTTTTACAGTTGTAAAGATCATATTGTACAAGATGATATTATGAAATATTTGCGTGCACGATGTAATATTTGTATACGATGTAAATTTTCAACTTTTACTTTGACTAAATTTTTGACTGTATATAAAACGCGTTAAAAGAAATACAATGATGAGAATTTAATGTTACCTTATCGTATTTATATCCACATATCCACCAGTATAACGCAGAGTACGTGACTCACTGCGCATATATTGTATTTTATTTGTTATGCTCTTTGAAATTTATACGAATACCAAATATAATGTGTTCCTGTACCTCACGTGTATTTTTTCAATATGTAAAGACACGATTAATTTTAAAATTTTCTGGTTTTCTTTTTGTTTTGATTTTCATAAATTTTATCCTCATTAGACCCTACAAACTTCCTTTTCCTGTGAATATCGTAATCCTTATTTTTATTTTCTTTCGCATCCTTTCTATGAGTTTTCTTATGTTTGGATTTCCTTTCGTACTTAAATTCACTTTTTCTCTTTTGATCCTCTTCCAAATCTTTTGTTCTATTTCGCTCTCTTTTGTGATAACGATTCGAAGAATCACCATTTGAAATATAATCTGTTTTTCCCTTTCTTTTTTGTTTGTTTCCAAGTTTTTCCGACGTATAATCATTTAAACTTTTATCAATGGTGTTCGTGTCACCACTGTTAGTACTAGCACTTGAAGTACTGCTGCTGCTGGTACTGTTATCAGTTTCTGTATCACTATTACTTTTTCTGCGTTTCTTTCGTTTCTCTTTTGATTTCCTCTTTTCTGCTTTTTTGGTCTTCTTCTCAAGTTGTTGTAACTTCCTACAATTATTAACATTGTTCATTAAAGTACATTCAATTCCAGGTTAACGTTATACTTAAAAATACATACAAGTCAAATAAGCACAGACACAAGAGGATACGTACATTAATAACTTCTTTTTTTCCTTTTTAGACAAGGTTTTTAAAAATGTAATTTCAGATTGTTCTTCGTCATCTGAAACCATAAGATGTTCATGCTCAGGAACTCGTAAATGTTGTTGAGCACTGAGAGCAGATCTGTAAATAAAACTCAGTACTTAGTTTTAAAATAGACAGCTATTTATGTTAAAAAACAAAAAAAAAATAAATAAATAAATATTAAAAACAAAAAATGAAAGAGATCTTTCTGAATCTATGTATACTTTTTAAGTGCTAATCCATCTTCTCTCATTTGTTGAACCAGCATTAAAGCATCTGGAGCTGATGTTGTTGGTGAGTTATTTGCCATCACTACGCTCATTGCTTGACTGTACAGAGGACACTCTTTATCTACGATCAAAATTGATGCATCATTTGACAACAAACATTTGTTACATTGCATTTAATTCTATTACTCTTTTAACATATTCATTGTACAAACCTGTATTTATATGTCCCCATTTATGACACTTGATACAACGAACGTTACGTACTTGGATACCAAATGGCTGATCTCTTATTTCACTATCCCCTTTACAGTAACTTTCTCTCGGTGCATTGTACTTGCGTTGCCACTCGAATTTATATTCTGGCTCATTATCTTCCTTTTCTCTCTCCTTTTTTGCTCCAGGTGGTGGTTCGTACATAAAATTTACACTGAGCTTGTCCTTGCTTTCCTTGCTTAATAAAGCTCTGAAACAATACGTAGTAAAATAAGCAAAAAAGTATGGAAAGAGAAATGTCAACGAGATTTATTAAAATAACGTAATCCAAGTTACTTGTTATTATGGAGATCCTGTTCCTTTTCATACTGAACACGTAATTCTTCTTGCTTCTTCTTATAAGCCTCTGCTTGTTGTTCGGCCATCCATACCTGTAAAAAAGATTGTAAATCTAATCGTGGTATACATAGATAACCTAGAAACCAACGGATAACCTAGAAAAGTGTACAACGATAGATACATACTCGTTTTAAATTGTCTCGAGATGCTGGATGGAAAAACTTTTTACACATATAATTATTAAAGCCCTTTCCCATTTTGTATTCTCAGCGTGTTACTGCTTAACAAATGATAATGTATATATATATATATATATATGTACGCGTATTTAACGATCGCAACAAGTAACAACGTACACGCAATCCATCCGTGTAACTTTTACTAGTTTCACCCCCACTCTCAAGGAAAGTTGGTGTAATTGTGAACACAGCAACTGTGTATCAAATACTTTCGAGTATGTAAACGAATCGTTTGTCGTGTAAAAAAAAACAAACTTTGAGTGAAAAAACGTCAGTTTGACGTAGAGTATTGTAAATATTACAGATTTATCGTTGCGTACTGATTGCAAATACGTCGGCCGACTACGTTTTGAAAGTTACAAAGTTACCCGTCACAGTTTAATACGAAAAGCGGACAGTTCTTTTTAATGACAATCAACACGACAGATTAATTGAAGGATATAATACAAGCAGGTTTCGATTTCTGACTCGGTCGAGAGTACGATTTCAAATGCAATGAAAATAAACGAGAAGAATATGGTAGCTTTCGCGACTTCAGCAACGCCAGTAGATCGCGAAGGTTGGTTGAACAAACGCGGTGAATTAAACCGGGGCTATCAAAGAAGATGGTTCGTTCTCAAAGGAAACATATTGTTTTATTTCGACCGACGCGGTGACAAGGAACCAGTAGGCATGATTGTTCTTGAAGGCTGTACCATCGAATTGGCAGAGGATGAGGAACAATTTGGTTTTCAAATTGTATTTCATGGCCCAAATAATAGAAACTATGCTCTTGCAGCCGAGTCTCAGGTATTTTTTGATAAACTTGATCTGTCATAGCTGTCATTGTTACTGTTCTTGTTACCACAACAATGGCCAACGAACAGGGAATCTCTAATGTTGGAAATTCGTAGGAATCCATGGAGCAATGGATGAAAGCTTTGGCATGTGCAAGCTACGACTATATGAAACTGATGGTAGCAGAATTGCAAAGGCAGTTGGACGCAGCGGAAGAAGAGACAACAATGGTGATGGTACCTTCCCAGTCTCCGAAAGCTCCTCCAAGACAGCGACACAATCCCTTCAATAGATCAGAGTTGCACCATCGTTCACAGAGTGTTAGATCCGCCCCGGGAAGAACAGAGAACATACCACGGACGAGGATAACGTTTCGCGAATTGCACAACATGTATGGCAGAAGAATTCTGGCGGATTTAAACGAGTGGAGGCACGCGAGAAAAGCTGTAGAGGCCCCTTTAATCAGTTTTTAATGGTACATTGTATAGAAATTGTAAATAGTTTGTCAGGATTGAGACGATAAGTAAGAAATGCTGAAAGAAATATGACAAGGTCGCAGAATCGACAAACTCATCACGGATGTTATATATTCTTTAGAAAGTGTACTTTAGTTATAATTCACTCCCTGTTAAAAAAAAGACAGGATGCTATATCTCTTATAGACGTTACTATAATCGATCGGACAACGACGTTATTCAATTCTTTTTTTCGTCAAAGACCTGTCTATATTTCTTCCATCGACCATACGAGTATTAGGCGTCATTGGAATGTACTGTACCATTTATTTTTGTAACAACAATATATTTACAATCAAAATGTAACAAAATACTTTTAATTGCTAGTGGAGGTTTTTAATCTTTTGCGATGTCGCATTCAATAGGAAGTATTCTTGTCTGTAAAATACGGTCGTGTATTATTTTTTAATTAAATTACATTCAAAATCGATTCACACACCTTAATGCTTAATTGCGAGATTTCATACAAATCAAAATAAATATAAATAGTCGAGGCAATAAAATAGAAGCTACTATTTACGAAAGACACCGCCTTCAGAATCTGGCAGCACGTCCTCGCGGTATTTTAAGCAGAATAATTCAATCAGTATAGCAATAATTACAAGTGTAATAGAATGCTGTTACCATTTTGCACATACAGAAATTTGAATAATGAACATATATGAATATGTTCAGTATTGGTTAATAGTCGGACAAGTAATAAATCATATACAGTTGTATAAGTGGTTAAAAAACCGTACAAACATTACTTTGCTTTAATAAAAATACTTGGCAATGCAGTAACAATTTTCTTATTAAAATATTCTATTAGAATAAATATCGTTATTCCGTGTACGTTTGTGTAAATGAAAAAAATTCGTCAAGTACAAATTTCAGAAGAATTACTTAAATTTAAAGACACCTTTCTTTCTCACGTCACCCGGTAGATGTCTAGCACCCAATAAAAGTCGAGCTTTGTCTTCCTCTTGCGGAGCGGATTCTTCTTGCGGACCTCTTGGTTTGATTTGCAATTTCTGTTTAATAGCTTGACTCAGTATTACGCGTCTAGAATCACTTTTCATAGCCAAAAGGAGATCAAGCCATGTCCAAGTAACATTATGATACTCTAACGTGGGTATTACCAGAGCAAAATCGCGAACATCTTCCAAGTTTTTCTCTTTGTTGCCCTGTAGATGCGTATGCAAACAAAGAAACGAACGATTTTAGTAATAATAATGTTAGTTGAGTAATTGACAATTCGTTTAAAGAAACAAAAACATTGTAATCGTTACGTTGAAATTTGACGACTACCTTGTAAGAAACACGAACGGGTACTTCAGGTATTTTGATATATATAAATAATTTGTTTTTGTCTGCACGTTCTTTCATCTTTTCCACATCGTCCCTTCTTTCAATTGGCACGTAAAAGGAGGAATCTCGTTGCGGTGCGGGTGGCTCTTCTATTCCTTCTGGGTCCCTCTCGGGGAAACAGAATTTGAGCATCGTGTTGAAAAACTTTTTCGTTAATCCTAAAAATAGAATGATTCATTTTGATTGGCGTTTTAAACGTATGCGAAAAGAACAACGTTCGAAACATTCGATTAGCTTCTATTGAACAAAACAAAAATTTCATGATATAATGGATATTATAAAATAAACGGCAGAGAAGAGAAGAGAAGAGAAGAGAAGAGAAGAGAAAGGAGGAGAAGGGTGGGAAAAGGAGAGTACGTAACAATACATATACATCTATCTACCTATCGTTAATGGAACGACATTAATTTCGAAATGTTCTTTCACGGATATCCCAGCAACCGGCGCTTTCTCCCTGCAGAAAACACGAAGAGCCCTTTGCCTATCAACAGGCATGTTACTTTGCAATTCCGTAGGTGTCAACACCTCCGTGTAGATTTGATTCGGCAATAAATTAGTCATCCTAACGTATCCCAGTTCTAGGAGATGTTCAACCGAATCGTCGGTTTTGCTTGTTTTGGTGTATAAAAAATTAGTTAATATAAGATCGGCGATTCCCAATTGGCCATCCGCGTCCGTTAATCTCCACTGAGCGTGTTTGAAGCAAATTTCCGCCACTCTTGCGACTGCCGCCGGCTTATCTTTCAACGTGGTGGAAGCTGTGGTTGGCGCGGTAGTTTCCTTGTAACAGCTTAACATTACGTCGAGTTCTTCCGCCTTCGCTCCGAGGTGTTCCTTACACTCGAAAACTCTCGTTTCCAATCGTTCCATTTCTGCTAGCAACTCGGGACTGGATTCCTCCGCGAGAGCTTTTTGCACCAGGTACGTTTCACGCTCCAATCTCCTTAATTTCGCCACCAAACCGCGCACGGTGTTCTGCAGTTGTTGAATGGGACGTTTTTGATCTTCAACAGAGTGCAACTGCAATTGAAATCGCATTCTCTGCAAACGTTCCGATGCTTCCTTTCTCCTTGGTTCTACGTAAAGCAGCAAATTGTTAACGATATCCAAGATCATAGCATACTGCAGCGAATTCGTGCAAACGTCTAAATCGTGATGCATCAACGTGAACGCGTCAGCTGCCGAAAGGTCTTTTCTTTCCCACGGGCTGACTTCCTCTCTCGGCGGAGGTGGAACTTGATCGACAGAGCCAACGTCCAAAGCTTGTCCATAGCCAACGTAGAAGAATTCGCATTTACATCTCGAGACGATACGTTGTAATTGGTGTTGAGGACCACCGCCACCACCAACCGTCTGACTCACAACACCACCGACGCTTTGTCCTGAACCAACCAATGCCGGCACGTCTGGTAAACCAGCTATCACAGTCGAATCTTTTTCCTAGTTTAATTAAAGACGATTTTAGAAAATTTCACTCGTACGTAATTGATGTACGAATTCACAACTTTTATACTTAACTTACTTGGATGTTATCTAACGTCAACCACATTATATTATCGTCGATATTTTCGTCAATGTTGGCACTGACAGTTGCATAGTACTGCATACATTCTAACGATCCGACCCAGGTCGTCTTTGATACCAAGGTTCTCTCTTTCCATACAGGTTGATGAACTCTTTGTAATATCTCGGCTTTAGCCGCGGATAAGATCACGTAACCTCGCGTTTCGATGCCTTTCAGTAATACTTGACTGTTTACCAAGGCGACTGCAAAAACAACACAAATAGAAAACAATTTCATTTCCTCTCTTTCCTCTTTTCCAACTATTATATACGTAACACACGCATGTATGTAAAAGTTGTATGAACAATTACAAAATGTGTATGATCGGATGTGGCAAGCTTCCGGTTTTTCCGAGTTTGAAAATTTGTCACTTCTACTTTTATTTGTCACTAGACTCTATCCGATTCTAGACTGTATGTGTAATCATGAAACTTGCCACACATCGCGCATGCATACGACATGCACGCACGCACACACACACACATACTTAGCCAATTCTTGTGAAGGACGTCGTCTTGATGACAAGCTGCTAGACCTCGTAATTGTTGACCCCTGGTTTGTACCGACAAATCGTCGCTAAACGCGACCGGTTTATTTGCAGCTTCGGCTATCAATCTCTGTAACATACCGACGGCTTCTCCCTGTTGTGGCTTCGTCGCGGACGTCGCGTTCACTTGAGTGGTCGCGTTTTGCGCCTCGATCGACCTCGTTCGATTTTTGTGCGGCGTTGAACTTTCTCTGTGAAAGCCTTTCAAGGCTGCGGTGGACAAATTCTTCTTCAGCTGTTGAGTTTTGATGAAGGAGTCGAAAAGCGCAAAGGCCACGTCTCTGTTCGTCTTTGTCCAAGCTCCTTTCAAGTCGTGCACGACGAGCCTATGAGTGGGGGTGTCTCCTCCGGTGACACCGGCTACCATTGCCTCTCTGCCGTAGCTAACGCGAGCCACGCTCAAACAGTAACACTTTTCCACCGGTTGTCGGAGCGAGGCGCTCTCCTTGTCTTCGTGAAGCGCGCTTTTCAGCCAAATTTCTGCGTCGCTGAGCTCGCAGTTCATATACACGACCGACCATTCCGCTCTCGGACGATGTATCAGCCCGTCGCCGATCGGATGCAGGGACAGGTTGTGCTCGCAGCTGCACACTACTCTTCCACCGGTTACCTCGAAACCGCGTTGCATCGCGAACGACATCCAGTAACTGACGTGAAACTGATGAAAGGCCAATGTCAGCCGAACTTTTCTGTAATGCCTGCTCAGCTGTTTCTTCCTAGGTCTGATATTTTTGAAAAGCGGCCCTTTCCTCGTCGGCCTTGTCGCGCCGGACAAGATGAATTTCAGATTCTCAAACCATCTGAGAGTGCTGCCGTACAATAGAGCGGTTGGCGCGCTTGCCATAGCCGGAGATCCGGTTGGCTTCGTCTCCAGAGAAAGGCTGACGTTCAAATTTTGGGAGCGGAACGCCCTGAACGAGTCGTGCTCTTGATTGCTCGAATATTCCGGCAACCTGTCTGGGGCGCAAGGTATCGCGGCGTGATGATCTCTAGGATCGCCTAAGCAAACCCACGCTAATTTTATGCTCAAACGTACGTTCGGTAAGTGTAGTAATCTGCAATCGTCGTATTTGCTGGCCGTACGAACGTAAACGTCTAAATCTCCTTTCACGATGATTCTACCCTGCGTCCAGTCGAGCTCCAATCCTGTCCACGTAAGCTCCATCTCCTCCGTGGTATTGTACGGATCCAACGAACCGTGTAACAAAACTGTCAACTGTTTTACGCAAAGCGTTAACCTTCCGTGGAGAGCCAGTCGCATTTTGTCCCAGAATGGCAGCGGAGGACTCGGGTCACGCGACGGATGGAGAATTTTCTCGAAACTGAAGTTGCACTGCGCTATCACCGGCTCCCAACACGGACCGAACGCATATCTGAACTTGTCGATGTCCCAGTTCAGATCGTGGTAGTACTTCAACGACGTCATTCCTCTTTCTACGACAATGTCCTCCCAAGGAGCACCGATTTCTATTCTCACAGTTCGCCTGGCCCGCGGCGGTGCCAGAGCCTCTGCGCCAGCTAATCTACCCCATACGCTTAAACTTTCGACCAACAGCAACGGTTGCGGAAAATCCCGCAACTGTAATTTCCATTCGGCGCACTTCAAACTTATTCCCCTTACCCACAAGGTGCTGAATTCAAGGCCGTCCTCTGGCCAGGGAGTCTCCGCGTCCATCTCGCGAAGAGCCTTCGTTGCGTTTTCCATTCCATTTATCGACGGATCGGCCAACGCCAGTATCTCGATATCTGACATGGACCAAGCGAACAATCGTGTTCTGGCTGGGCCAGCACGCTGCATCTGTTTCCATCGTTGCACGTATATCTCGGCATTCTTTTTGTTCAGACTGACGTACAGTTCCTCGACTTTGCCTTGAGGAAGCAACAAGTGCGCTCGGCAGAGTTCCTGCACTTTGGTGTCGAGCATCGCTTGCCTCTTTAAGCTCTCTTTATATTCGTCTTCCAATAATTCGTAATTATCTCGCAAGCGTACTTCAAACGGATCGTCGCTTACCTCGAATACCCATTCTTTGATCTGTAACATGCGAAATAATTGTCTTAAATTTGTTGCAAACACCAGTATTACTTGCAGTATATATAAATCGTTTGCTGCATACGCGTACTTTTATAATTAAATCGCACGGCAAACATCTTTCCTTTCTTTGACTCGACGATGACGACGAAGAACACGATGACGAAGACGATGACGAGGACGAAGACGACGACGACGACGACGACGACGACGACGACGACGACGACGACGACGACGATGATGACGACGATGAGGAGGAATGAATGTCTTTCAACCATTTCTTTATACTGAACAATTCGTTCTGAATTGCGTCGGTAAACTGATGTTCGTAAGGAAAGCAAGCTTTTACCGATTCGATGTTGAGCATCCAAGTTTCGTTCCAATCCAGGACAAAACCTTCGTTACTCTGTCGCTCTAGTAGCACCTCTTCGTTACTCAATATTCTGATTAATTCAAATCCTTCGAACATAATTATGTCGGCCATATCTAAAGTAGCTCGCATATAATTCAGTCTCCACTCTCCTTGTGACCAACGCAACTGGTCCGAGGAAAGTTCTAAAAAGTGTTTCGGAGAAATATCTATAGATAGACTAATCCCGTTAGTAGCCAGTATATCTACTAATCGTTTTTGCTGTTTACCAATGTCTTTATCTGGAGAACAGTAATTTAATATATTAGTAATTAAAAAATATAACAGACAAAAAGAGGAAGGTAACAAAGATACGGTAAAAAAAAAAAAAACAAACCTTGACACGATCGTGTCGTCGATGAATCTCTATTTATGATAGATCTAAAATCTGCAGATTCCAGCCAAAGTTGTAAAAGGCGAAGATGTAAATTCGGACTCCATGCTAGACTGGTACCGTCCAAAGTAATATTTATCGCTTCAGATGTAACCGCACCTTTGCATTTTCTTATTGCTAAGAACGGATGCACCAATGCTTGCGCGTGCTGACAGACAATTGGTTCGTTTTTATTTAACGTGATTGCGCTAACACCCTCTGCTACCGCCACCAATCGTTTTGTATTGTGCTCCAAATTTGCAATATCCAAACGCATCATGACAGACACTAAACAATCAATCAAGACATTCGGCACAAATATTCTGATTTGAAAATTCTTAGAAATAAATAGGATAAATCAAATTATATACGTACGATTGTTTTCCGCAATAAAAAATAAATTACAATTTGTAACCTTGAGATTTAATTGAACAACGCTATCCGATTCTTTGGCCTTTTTCATTGTTTCGATTTTTCTGTTGTACATTTGGCAACATCTGTCAATGTTTAATAGAGTAGCTGTTAGTAAACCGTTTAGAAAATTAATTTCATTTTTCTCGAATATCTTACTTGTATGCTTCTTTGAGAAATCTAGCAAGTTCCAAACTCCATTCGGTTACAAGAGCGTCAACGGCAATTCCTATAGCGTTGGTACGTGTCGTAGCTAATAATACTCCGATAGACAAAGGCGTTCCCCATCGATGAGATGTTTCCAAAGTAATGGCATTAGAACCGTTTAAGGTACAATACAGAGATTCTACTACTAACTCTGTGTTCCAATTGTCAATCATATCTGTGAAATTAAATGATCATCAAACAAACATTAATCTTTTCAATTTCGATATATATTAAGAAGCTAAGTGCAATACAACATTATATGTACGTACCTGCAAGTGTGTTTAATGAAAATTTCATGTGAGCTACGCCGCACGAAGCTTCGTGGACGTCTAATAATTTGATGCACAACGACGAGTCATAGAGTTCGGTATTTACTCTTACATCTAACCACGGCAATTTATTCTTTAACGTTATGCTACCGACAGGTCTCGAAATTTCGTTATCGGTATTACACAATATCGACTCCCAGTCTTTGTGATCGTAGATAATAGAAAGATTATTAATTTGTATGGCAATTTGTAAAATGCCTTGCTCCATCTGTACAAAAGATTTAAGGAATGGTCGTCTTATTCGGTACTTGGTATAATGTCAAACCAATAAGAATTTGTAGACACAAGTTGCACGGTACCTTTGAATTTACAATTAACGATCGTAATGTCAGAACAGGGAATTTGCTGCGAATTGATAATCCATCCAAATTTAAAGTGAAATTTAATAGCGGGTTACATGGTTGAAATTTCGTACTAATTTGCAAACCCTTCATTGTACCTTCTAAGCCAAGAACCACGCCATCTTCTCCGCCCGTAATTATAGAAGAATTGCCTATTTTCAGGCAAAAATCCTGCAAATGTATTTAATTATATTTACCTCTTCTGAATCTTCCGATATACGCTTTAATAACGTATAGTTACCTTCGGTATAACCGGTGCTAACCGAGATAAGAGATCAATAGAAGAGTCGACATGTGCATCTGAATACGAAGATGCCGTATCAATTAACAAACTTCTATCTTTGAAGAATGTAACGAGACCTGCCCCTCCAGAACCCTCTGTCTGCGTTATTCCGATGTACAATTTCTATAAATTATATCCTGCTTGATTCCAATCTAATCCCATTGTAAAGGACAGTTGTTCAGGATCATCCATTAAGTGTGCTAAACACAAATAGCTATCGTTCAAAGCATTGAGCTACATCGTTGAATTACAACTTGGTATCTCATTACTTTTTAGCCTTTGCAATTTGCGCGTTAAAACAAATCAGCTTGCACGACACGTACAAAACCTATAAACAATTTCTTCATACCTCTACCGAAAATTCTCCTTGGGCTTTCAGTGTTGCTTCGGCTGTTCCAGCAAATGATATCTGTGAGAGGCAAGCATCGGACGCATGACGTAACAATTTCATGGCACCACCAATGATCGCTGCAGATGCAAGAAGAGTACGAGCTCCGTGAACAACACTACCATCCAAAGTGAGACTTTCGGCACTTCCATTAGCTAACCAACCGTTACCCAAAATCAGAAGACTTAAGTTTTCTACATGCACAGCCATAAACTGAAACATTTTCAAATGATCTTTGAGTCGGCAAATAGTCTTAGTCTGAATGATAATTTCAATAGCATGATTTATCGTGCCTGCAGTAAGATTCATTGTCATCTACGTACTTGTACAAAAGTTATAATTATTGACGGAATTTTCTTGTCTCGAAAATCCACTGGGTTCTTTGGCTTGCTTACTATTTGTACAGGTTCCATCGGAACGTCCTTGTTAATTCTAACATCCTTCATAATCACAGCTAAAAGTTTTGCAACGTCACTGCTAAATAGGCTACTTCGTACGCTGATCTCATCCACTTGCTAAAATTATTCAAAATTAAACAGCATATACATATAGTTTGAATTTTTCAAGATTTAATTTCGTTGAGACTAACAATCAAATGACTCTCTGAAGCATTCGAGCAATAAGATGTAAATAACAATGAAAGAGGAACACATAAATAATATCTGTTCTATGTCTATTGAGAGAACAATGTAAATAATAACGTGTATAAAATGTAAATAAAACTAAAAACACAAGGTGTAAGTAAAAATAATAATTGTTCTATCTTTTTTAAGAGAGACTCACCAATGTGAAACCATTTTTCGATATATTCACATCCCGTAATATGAACGGTAGTGAAATATGACCAACACGTAGATAAATCTTGTATCGTCTCTTTACTAACCATGCTAAAAACCTTGGTATCACCCTGATGGAAAAATAAAACAGCATTACTAGACAATAAAACAAAAATGTTGTGATATCACGTAAAAATAATTATCGTGAATCTCACCAGGTGAAACTGCAATAGATAATAAAACAAGTCATACACAAGGTGATTATACCAGTCATTTTCACAAATTTCACATATTGCAGGTGGAACACGAATGAGCAATTGCTTAGTAACACTGAGCAAATATCGTTGTCAAAACGGTTAAATAACAATTACTTTCAGATCGAGTATGGTTTCCCGATCATCAGCTGATTAGTTAAAAACCGTCAAACTACTGCACACCTCTCTATGTATATACTTGAGAACTTGATTCTTTCACATTCACAACGTACTGATATCGATATATATCGATATTTTCGATAACATGTCTGAAAACGAGCATAATACGAACCATATTTGTTGGTTATTCGAAACACTCGTCGCTCGTGCTCGTCAAGGAATATACAAGCGACAAAATTATCACAAAATTATCGTCAGGTGTGAAACTCGTCTACATACAACAAGGTTGTCGTGCAACAAGAAGGGGTGTCTAGTTCTACAAATACGTTCGCATCGTATGCCGTAATTGACGAACTTGGACGACTAACCTCTCAACTGAGGATCAAAAGTAAGGTTAGTCCGTACGTCTTATTTTGACAATAGTATCGTTCAATTAATGAATATACAGTAGCACTGGAATACGAATGAATATCGAAACAATAAAAAAAAATTCAGAAACGAAGCAGGGAGAGAATGTAATATGTGTACATTGTGCAAACGCAATGAGAAACACGCAATGAAAGAAAGTTAGAAAAAGCTAGAAGGAACTCTAATTTCCTTGTATTGAACAAATCGAAACATGCGAAATTGGGAAAAAAAAAACGAAATTGGAAAATTAATGTATTGCAGAAAAGAGAAGAAAAAGAAAAGAAAAATTGAAACTGTCATGTTGGAAATGCCAGGATAATGAGGATAATAATCACAACGATAATGTTAAAGGTTCAGTTGATGAAAACGTTAACTAAACGTTATAAATAGTATTATAACGATTATTAGCAACAATTTCATAAATGGTATTCCAGAAAATACCATAAAATCATTGTGTACTAGTCAAAATGTGTGGTAATGGAAATTTCAGTAAGCCATATTGAGGGCAAGCTTAATGTTTTCTATTTCTAAAATAGTTTACATATATTGAAGAACTACATAGATTTAAACTAACATAACTTTGTAAAGAAAGATCATACAACGATCTACTTGGTCTCACTTTGAAGTACGAAGCTTCTACTTTGACAACTCTGAGTTCATTTCTTTTTATTTTTTCAAAAATGTTTTTAGATTATATAGCAGTTGAAAAAGTGAGTATACCTTTTTTTCTCGAAAATTGTAAAAATTCAAACGCGTGTAAAAATTTTGTTTTTATCGTGGTTTTAAAAATTGAGACATTAGGATTAGATGATGAAATGTTAAAGTTTCTTGAATTTATCTGTATAGTTTAACGCTGATATTTAACGTATATGTTCAATGAAAATGAAAAATAAAAATTGTACAAGTTTTATGGAGAAGACCTCAGTCTTCAACATAATGGTAGAAAAAAAAGATTTTTATTCTACACTTTTCATTTATTTTCGCGTGTAAAATATCTTTGTGTTGATTATTCGCGGTTATCTAGTGTGGAATTAGCCAAATTCAAGTATGATAAATACTTGATAAATCCTCAAATCCGATTTTCTCGAAAACTAAGGCTTTAATGAAACAATTTTATTCTTGTCGACTCGTTTCTTCACGTTTCGATCACATAGAATCGCACTATTATTAGAGTGATTCGCATGGAAAATCACCACGTTTCTACACGTTGCTGGAGACTGAATAAATAACACTGCCTGTTTATTACAATTTTAGGCACTAATTTAGACGTAAGAAACTATGAGAGATAGTAAACAGTTGCAAAAAAAAAAAAAAAAGAAAAATAAAATCGATGACGATGTTTAATGTTTGAAAGCAATCTATAGTATCGAACAAGCAAGTCGAGGCTCCGGTTACTTTATAGTGGAAATAAAGGAATATTTTTGAAAAAAAAGCAAAAAATAAAAAATAGAAAAGCAGGAATGTTATTCTGTTGTTCATTGAAAGTCAACTTCGTTCAAAAACGTTTAAGTATGAAAACGAAGAAAGAAGTAAACAAATAGAGTAAAAACGCAGACGAAAAAGAAAATGTTACATTAGAAGGATGTGCTTGCAATATGGAGGAGGAGATATGCGACAATTTCCATGAAAAATTTAAGACATTTCGGCTGGTTTACACGGGTTTACTGCTGGTAACAGAGGTTGCTACGCGAATATCGATTGAAACCGCGCGTTCCGTCGAGAGAGTCATACGGCCGAGTTTGGCGGAGAAGAATGGCACGACGACGTAGAAACGAAAACCAGTGTCCTGATAAGTGAGATGCTTGTCGTGCAGGATCGTGGACGGTCACGATGAATTGATGTAACAAGCAACAGTGTTGTAGAATCCAGTAGGGATAAGTGAATGAGAATGAGAACGAGAAGGAGAACGAGAACGAGAAGAAGAACGAGAACGAGAAGGCATGTGTCACGAAAAGGAATCGGAGAAACGGCGCAAGGTGAGTGAAGAGTAAGAAAAATAAACGACGAAAGAATGAAAAATAAAAAGAAATAGAGAGAAAGATCTCTGTCGAGAAGAAGAATGTGGTTATCTTTGTCGCTGGCTTGAAAGACGAGAGAGTGTAGAGGACGACGAGAACGATGACAACGAGGAAAGGAGAGTGACAGAGAGAGAGAGAGAGAGAGAGTGACACGAGGATAATGTTCAGCGGCGGATGGGAATGAAAGACGACCTCGTTGCGGTATGCGAAACGAAAGAAACGGAAATTCGAGGGATATTTTACGGAGATGGTGCTCGGGGCAGAGCAACGCGCTCGTGATACCGGAACGTCGAAAGTTTAGACGCGTGCATGGACTTCAGTTGCCGTTGCATCCCCAACAAGTGACCGGCTGGATCGTAATCTTGATCATCGTGGTGAACACGTTCGCGATACTGACGCCACTCCTCGAGCCGAATCTACGCCCAACGTTCTCGATCGTGATCGCTGCTGTCTTTCTAACGCACATTTGCTCCCACTTGACGGTGCTTCTGTTGGACCCGGCGGACCCGCGGGTCAGGTCTCAGCCGACGAACAAAGTTCTGCCGGAATTCGACCGACGGAAACACTCGCACGTGATCGAGAACGGCAGATGCCACCTTTGCAACATAACCGCCGAGAGCAAGAGAACCAAGCACTGTTCGATCTGCAACAAATGCATCGTCCGATTCGACCACCATTGCAAATGGCTCAACAACTGTATCGGGGCTAGAAATTACCGTGCTTTCCTAGTCTGTTTGATCTCCGCTATCTTGGCGAGCCTGTTCGTTGCCGGCCTCTCCGCCACAGAGCTGTCCTTCTCCCTGTTCACCGACCGATTCGCCAGTCCAAGCATGGAGAACAACACCACCGATCCCGTAATGCCGTTTATCGCCCCTGCCTCGGACACCACTCTCATAATCGCCATTTCCGCCATTGGCATCCTCTCGGCGATCGTGGCGATACTCTTGCTTCACTTGTGCTTCTTTCACGGTTACATCGCCTGCCTCGGGCTGACCACCTACGAGTACGTGCGGAACAAGAGGGAGAAGAACTCGGTGGCTGCCGCGGTGGCGATCGCTGCAGCTGCGACAGCTGCCGCGGCTGCAGCCGCCGCCGCTGCCTCCACCGCTTCCGGCACCGCCACCTCAGCTGCAACGACCACCGCTGCGACCGGCGATCCCACCACCACCTCCTCCGCCTCCTCCTCCGTCGCTGCTACGACCACCGTAACCACGGTTACCGAGAACGCTTCGACGCAACAGATCACCATCCAGCAGATAGTCCCCGACAGTTCGAGGCTGCGATACGGTTTCTGCGAGTTCATCTCCTCCCATCGTTCCTTCGCGTCCTCGCGTTCCTCGCGTTCCTCGCGTTCCTCGCGTTCCTCGCGTTCCTCGCGTTCCTCGCCCTTCGCCAACGACGCGAATTTGCTGTACTCGCGCCGCGGTACCAACGAATGCACCGACGAACGAATCGAGTCCCTCGAGGGCAAGCCGAAAGTCAGCCAAGCACCTTCCACTCGATCCCCCTTCTCCCGTCGGAAGAACGAGAGAGAGAAACGGAACTTTCGGCTGTGTTTCTCAACGTACGAACTCGAACCGTCGCGACTCGACAACCACAGTGAAACCACCACCGCGTCTACCGGCGGCGAGATTTCGACAGACACGGACGTGTCAGTGACGACGGACGTTTCTCGAAATTGGAACGCCGCTACTACCGCCGATCTGTCCACGCCGTCGCCAGTGTTCTGTTGCTTCGCCACGCTCAATTCCGCGTTGACCATGCACTGTTGCGTGACAAACGGCAGACCGGGCGTCCACGAGGCTCCCGTCGAGTCGAAGAAACGACCCAGCTGCGACGACACGTCCGATCGGGTCGTACGCGCGTCGGCAAACTCCTGCGAGACCGTCGAGAGAATCGGCAGGTTTCTTCGAACGTATCTGAGCAAAGGCAAAAGGAGAAGAAGGTGCAAGAAGAAAAGAAAGGGTCGACAGCAGTCGTTCGACGTGACAGGCAGCACGTTGCAGATAGCAAAGTCCAAGGGACTCGACAGCGCCGATTTCGATCGGAATCGAACGACCATCGAGGACACGGTGGCGGTGGTGTCGTCCTCGCAACTCGCAGCCACAGTCACAGACACAGACACAGACTCTTCGCCACATACTGGCGTTCCTTTGCCGATCAACACAATGGCGACGGCGACGGCAACGGCAACAGCAACAGCAACAGCAACAGCAACAGCAACAGCAACAGCGGCACCGCCGTCATCGCGATCTTACTTGAAACCTTCCGCGCTGCATCGTTCGTCGTTAATCACAGAGTTCAATCTGTTGGACACGCAGCAGAATCGGAGCCTGCTCCGGTCGCAGAAAACACTCGGCCCGTCGACCTACAGGAGACCGAGTACGCACTTTTTCCTCCGAAGGGGACAAAAGGCGAAAATAAATTCGCAGATAATAACGCAGTCTATCAAGCTCTCTCCTATTTTGGAGTCGGAATTATCGAAACCCGTGACGCCACGATCCACCCATTCTTCTCTGTCGTCGTACTCTGGCCTCTCTAACCGTTCAATTTGTTCGACGTCGTCTTCGTCGTCGTCGTCTTCGCAAGTCGCTCGCGACTCGTTGCCTTTCCACGAGAAATGCGAGATCCATCGTATCGAATGACTGTTCCGACCGTTTTCCTCGTCACTGCATCGCGCTTAAAACGCGATCAGCCGGTAAACTGTAAACGATCGTTGCGTTCCTTTTTCTTGGCAAACTGAAACGTGAAGGGAGAAAAAGAAAAAAAAAAAAAAAAAGAAAAAAAAATCGGTGGAGAAAAGGGTGAATAAACCGGAGGGAATAGTTGTACGAAGAGAGGTGGTCCTTGTGTATCGTCACACGGTATCATCCTTGCTGTAACAGAATATACCTCCCCACGTAGGCGTCCGTTTTTGCTCCCGTTCTGTGGACGCTTAAATATGGTATAACTGCTCACGTAACGTAAAAGCAGGACGTTTCGAATGAAATTAATTCTGCTGGCTTTAACTGAAACTAATCGATTACTTTGCTCAGTAGTACGTACTCATGATCGTATATTTTCGTAGATGTCGTCAGTTTCAGCAAGAGTTTCGTCTGACCAGCACGCTGCAGATTCTACGACACCCGAGACGAATATCTGGCGAGATGTACTGGGCTCTCCACGATACGTAGTGGCACCGATGGTCGACGCGAGCGAATTAGCATGGAGGCTGTTGAGTCGTCGTCACGGTGCCCATCTCTGTTACACGCCGATGCTTCATTCCTCGGTGTTCTGTCGAGATCCGAAATATCGTCGAGAAGCTCTTGTCAGTACTGCCGAAGATCGGCCCCTGATTGTTCAGGTATTTATACGTATCGATGCCAAACAGTCAATTATTTCAACTGCACTGCTTTACCGTCCCACAAGGTGGGGAAAGAAAATTGTTGCAAAATTGACCTTGACTCTCTTACGATCTCAACAGCCGCTTCACAGCTTCCATTTCGTTTTTGTTACAGTTTTGCGGCAACGATCCGAACACGTTGTTAGAGGCAGCGCTTTTAGCAGAACCGTACTGCGACGCGGTCGATATAAATATCGGTTGTCCTCAAGCTATTGCGAAACGTGGCCGTTACGGTGCTTACCTTCAAGATGATTGGGACTTGCTTCGACAAATCGGTTTGTAAGGAACGCTTAACGCTTCAACGTTACGTTTACGATATATATTTTACTTTAGTTTATGAAATATTGCAGTAAGTACATTGAGCAAAAGACTTCGCGTGCCGGTAACTTGCAAGCTTCGCGTGTTTGCGGAGATTGATAAAACTGTGGAGTACGCGAAAATGCTGGAGACCGCCGGGGCACGATTACTCACCGTGCACGGACGAACTCGGGAACAAAAAGGTCCGTTAACTGGTGTCGCGTCTTGGAATCACATCAAAGCCGTCAGGTAACTAAATGTAAAGATCAACAACTCTTCCTCTCTGTTCGTACTCTGTTTTATTTTTCCCTTCCTTTCTCTTCTCTTCTCTTCTCTTCTCTTCTCTTCTCTTCTCTTCTCTTCTCTTCTCTTCTCTTCTCTTCTCTTTCTTTTTTTCTTCTTCCTTACGGTGTATTTTGAACGTTCAGAGAGGCCGTGAAAATTCCAATATTTGCAAATGGCAATATACAGTGCCTTCAAGATATCGAGAAATGTATAGAGGAAACCGGCGTTGACGGTGTAATGTCGGCGGAAGGCAATCTTTACAATCCGTACATATTCGAAGCGAGTTATCCACCTAGTTGGGAGCCAGCGCTCGAATATTTAGATTTGGTGGAACGTTATCCGGCCCCCCCTTCCTACATTCGTGGCCATCTGTTTAAACTGTTCCAACACGCGTACGTATGAAAAACCAATTAGTTTTTAAATTTCCTTCATTTACAGTTTCGATGTTTATACTTGCGGATAATAGAAAAGGGGAATATATAACTTCTACTATAAGATAGCACTTGCCGAAACATGAAAAAAAGTTTTAACAAACATAGTTTCAAAAAATTAATAGTTTCAAAGTTATAAATTTTTTTTGCTTCGAGAGCTATCGTACTGTTTGTAAGTAGTAGTTTATCTTATAATTTCTACTTTTTCTGATTACGGGAGGTATTCAACGTGTCCTCCTTACATTTCTATGCTCGACACCTTCGTATTAAAGAATTACGTACTCCTTCAAACATTGCCGAACGTGTTCTAACTTTTTCACAAGCATTTCGATCGAAACAAAAAAATCTTTTATGTATATTACTTTTTTTTCATGTTTTGGCTGGTATCATCTCATTCTCCCTGTGAGTGTGTGTGTGTGCGCGCGCGCGCGTGTGTGTGTGTGTCACAAGTGACTTCCTAAATTACAAATCGACTTATGCATTCAGCGTTCTTTTAACTAGAGAGTAGACTTTGTTTAGCAGAAAATAAAGAAGAGAGAGAAAATTTGGCCCGGAATTCTACCATGGAATCCTTCAGAAATGTCGTGTACGCTTTGAGGGATAGATATGTACATTATCACGAAGGTCGTTTAATCTGGCAGGAAGAGACCATATCCGGTTCGTAGATCGCACCATTTTATTAGATCAAACGGTTTATTCTTTATTTCGCTTTACACGCATGTCTTTGCTTTTCCAGGTACTATCGTAGTATACAACGTTGTTATTTACTCGCATTTTGTGTTTCAGATTACAACTTGAAACTACCTCCGTGGTTGTGCCAACCATACGTACGCCATTTTTCAGAAGAAAATATACAAAAGCTAGAACTTGAAAAGATCGAAACGGTTAGTTTCTACTGCAAACAATTTTCCCTTCATTTTTCTTTGTTCCATCTGCGTAAAATAATTGCTCGTTTATTTTGACATTTGTAGCAAAGTGAAACGATCAAGAGAAAATTCAAAGACGAAGAGGGAAATGAAATATCACGGAAACGCTTGAAGAAACTCAAACGAATAGCGCGCCGTCCCAACAGGCCTGCTATCGTCGTGAAGAGAGGATCCGACTTGTGTTGCGATTGTCCGAATCCAGTGGTTTGCAAAATTTCATTTCAAGCGTAATTTTGTTTTGTTGTAACTTGAATAAAATTTATTAATCTGGTCATTACGTTTTCTCTCGCAGAGCCTCAAATGTGTTCATAAATTATGCCGGCAGTGTTGCAGAAACAAATGTTTCACGGAAAATCTGGATTGCGCGGGACATAGAAATTTAACTAAAACTAGAAGACAAATGGCGATAGAATTTGCTGCGAAACGGAAAACCACTCAAGATGCAATATGACATTGTACGATATTCTAAATTATAAAAAGAAAAATTAAATAAACATATACACATACGTAATATATATATATATATATATATATACATAAAAAAAATATTTTACGACTATTGTATTAGCTTTTGTACATAATCATTGTTATAATAACTCGCTATTCACAAATTATACTACGAATTGCTTTGTCCTTGTATACAACTTACAGTTCACAACGATTCTCGTCAGTTCAAATTTCCGTGCATTTTATTAGTTACTAATCGTTTTCATTAACACTGGGTAAATATTGCTTCTTTTTTCTTCGAAAAGTATGGTTTCCTTCTGTTTGTTATCGTTGCTATGCCACTGTTTCTTACTTATGAGCATAAGAATTATGAGGGCAGGCAGATGAATCAGCGAAAAACGAAACAGTTTACGTGAACTTTTGCTATCCGAGTGTTTGTGAAATTCCCAAGCTAAAAAGGAAAAGACACAAGTTAAATTTACTTTTTTTTTTCTCTCTTTTTTAAAGTGTAAGACAAATACGAGACGTACCGAGGTAAAGAAAATATGCGTTAAGTGGTGTTGTTGACAAGGCAAACCACCAGTTTGTTACGTCAAAAACAGGTGCGAGGTAACAAAGACCCATCAATGCAGCAGTATAACGCAATGCCGTTTTGCGGCAAAGCTTTGGATTGGTGACTGCCATCATTCTGTAACCAGCACGCGAATAATCCGGCCTTAAATTCCACGACAAAGCATTGAAATGAGGAAACTGCCATGCATACAGTAAGCCAGACATTATCCAAGCACCTGGAGATATTACGTCGCCGACGCAAGATGCCCAACCCATTAATGGTGGTATAGCTCCAACTAGATAACAACCGATACATAATCCCCCAGTTGACACGATGAAAAGTTTTGAAAACAAATATCGTGATATACTTGCCTATGGAACCCACCCAAGTATTTAGAATACTAATACGTTTCATAGGAGTATAAATGAGAGTGTACAAGACCAAATTAGTTGCTCCCAAAAGAGCTGTTAATCCATTGACTTGACTACACAACAACAATAATCCACTCAAGCCGGACACTGCCGCAAATATTGCCGCATGGCCAGGTCTAATGGACAAATTGCTTTATAAATACAATGCTAATTTTAAGCTCTCTTCCTGCAATTGGAACCATACACTACGTACGTTAAATGACCTCTCACCAACACTCTATTTTTTGTTCTTGACATTTGCGCATCAAAGGGAACCTCGAAAAATTGATTGACAGTATTTGCCGTGGCTGATAACAATCCAGTGCCCACAGAGCATGCCACGAACGTAAAAGGATCAAAAGGTCCTGGGGCCAAAGCATATCCAGCCATGGTTGTTACAATTACCAAAGCTAAAACAATCATTCAATTGCTCAGTTTGTTTGCTCGAGTAAACTACATTGAATATCAAAGTTATTAAAGATATCAACACGTCTTACATGTCAATCTTATCTTGGACAGCATGAAACAATGTTTTCGAAGTTTACTGGAATCTAGTTTTATACACTGCCACTCTTGTTCATCCTTTATGTACAAGTTTCTTTGTTTTTCATTGTTTGTTATATCTATATACTGGGTGGTCTTTTGATGGTCAGCAGACTTGACAAAGTTTGGTGAAATTTTCTGATTTTTGACATTTTTTGTATTTAACAAACGATGTTTCTGTGTGCAGGGTAACTTCTTGACACTTGGCGTAGCCTGTGATAATTTAGCAGAACGTTTAACAACTGAAAGCTTACAGATATCAGGGAAAAGTCAAGACACATACCGTGGTGGTAGACAGTCTTAATGATGACAGACATGTGTTACGAAAGATCCTGATTGGACAAAAAATAAATAACATGATAAAAAATATGTCGTATAAAATAGTCACTGTTTCCTTTTTTCCCTCCTGAAAGTAACAAAGGGATCAATTAATCATCAATCATAACCAATCTACGTAACCAATGATTCTATGTGAGTGAAAGATGATTGAAATATTTTCAAATTTGTTCACAAAGTGAAACATCGACTTACATGATATATTTTCGTTTTCACAATTTTTATTTCGCGTTATGTAAGAAAATTTTGTACAACCACACATTACGCCGAAACTTCAAATAATCTCACTAGACTAGATTATTAAGATCTACGCAGGGTAGTAGATCTACGCATCTGCGTTTACTTAAGCAATTGAATGGAAACTCATTATCCCAACTCGAAGCGTTGGAAACAAATGAAAAGACAATGAGATAAAATCCTAAACACATCAACATATGATTGTGCTCAAGGAACACGAAAGATGCCGTTTAATGTATGAAAATATGAAATATACAAATATAAATATAAATATAAATATAAAAGAATCCTTGTAAACGAGTAAGCGAGTTTCCTTTCTCGAGATTGAATTTATATGTACATGTATATACTCGTAATCAGCTGACTGAAGGGTGAGCCCACATGTAGAAATGTATCGGAAAGCTTTTTCATTAAAGCTTTCGTTTTCGAGAAAAACTCGTGTTTGAATGTGGCCAATTTGAATAAATTAGTATTTGTACAGAGAGAATAAATTTGATAAAAACTTTGATAGAAATTCTTGATATTTAAACAGATGTATGGCTAAAAACATATGTGTGATACGTTACGTACAATGAGGCTGATCGAAAGAAGAAAAGACAATAGGTTAAGAGCAACGAAGAAGGAAAAGCGTAAAATGAAGTACGTAGAGAGATGATGCGTCGAGTCGGGGAGGTTCACGTGTCGGTCGACGAACAGCAGTGCAGCGTTCGCACTCGTAGTAAGAACAGCAACAGACGGAAGAAAAGAGAGAGAGAGAGATAGAGAGAAGGTGGGAGAGGGAGAAGATGCAGAGGAGCGATCGTGAAGCTTCACATTGACAAGATCGAAGAACACATTCTCCGGAGGGAGGGAGAGAAAAAAAAAAAAAGTGCGCGATACCCGCAGTTAACGCAAAACACTGGCCGAGGAAGATAACAAAGTCTCGATTGGTTGTGGGACGAAAGGAGAAACGGAAGACGGACAGGGCTAAGCAACGATGAGGTTATGTCAGTGTACGTTTCACTCGAGACTTGACGCATAAATCGGACGTGTCAGATTTGGGAGATTTGTCGGAAAACGTAGAAAAGGAAAGGGGAGAGAGTAAGAAGAGAAGAAGCGAGGGGAAACTAGAGTAGTCTCGTCCGGTGATGTCGTCGAGTCCGAAAAATGCAATGTTCGCGCGGGTCGGTTCGGCGGTGTTCTACGGTTTGTCCTCGTTCATGATCACCGTCGTGAACAAGACGGTGTTGACGTCGTTCGAGTTCCCGTCGTTCCAAATACTCGGCATAGGGCAAATGTTGGCCACCATCGTGTTGCTCTTCGCGGCGAAGAAACTGCGGTACGTCGAGTTCCCTAACCTAGAAGCGGCAACGTGCGTGAAGATATGGCCGCTGCCGATCATTTACATCGGTAACATGATCTTCGGACTGGGGGGGACGAAACAGCTGAGCCTGCCAATGTTCACCGCCCTCAGGCGGTTCAGCATTCTCATGACAATGATCGCCGAGTACTACGTCCTCGGTGTGCGAGCGCGCGTTTCCGTTCAGTTGAGCGTGTACACGATGATCGTTGGGGCAGTGGTGGCGGCGTTGAACGACCTCGCCTTCAACTTGGAGGGCTATCTGTTCATCCTGTTGAACGATCTCTTCACGGCCGCGAACGGCGTCTACATGAAGAAGAAGTTGGACTCGAAGGAGCTAGGAAAATACGGACTGATGTACTATAACTCGTTGTTCATGATTGTCCCGGCGATCAGCATCGCCTGCTGGCTGGAGGATACGCGTTCCATCGTCGAGTTTCCGCATTGGAACAACCCGTTCTTCCTCGTACAGTTTGGCCTCTCGTGCGTCATGGGTTTCATACTGTCGTACAGTATGATACTTTGCACGCTTTACAACTCTGCGCTCACCACCACCATAATCGGATGCTTGAAAAATATATGCGTCACTTACCTCGGGATGATGATCGGCGGCGATTACATTTTTACCTGGCTAAATTTCGTAGGACTGAACTTGAGCGTGGTCGGTAGTTTGGTCTACACCTGGGTAACATTTCGAAGAAAAGAATCCACCGAGCCGAAATATCTCCCGCTCTCGGACGATCAGCTGAACAAAGTGCAAGCCGTATGATCCCCGTGTTGTTTAGAGCAACAAATCCTCGTGCCATCGTGCGTCGCCGCGGCTCTTTCTTTTCTTCTCTTTCTCTCTACCGACTCTCTACCACACTGTGCTCTCTGCACGTGTCGACGTGAGTGTCGTGCCTTTCCCTCGTCGAATAACGACCGTTTTTGATAGCGGCCGAAAGAAAACGAAGGAAACGAAATGGGAACGGGGAAAGAGCGGCAAGTGTGACAAACCATAGTAATAACTACGAATAAGTACCGGTTGGGCTTATCGAAAAGTAACGAAAAGTATCATTTTTTTTTTGTTTTGTTTTTTCTCAGAAATGAAAATTCTGACTTTTTGTTGTTACAGTTAAGTATTGGTTTATTACGTACTCTGCTGTTACGACGTCTGTTATCCATCGACTAACACTTTTTTTTTTTTTTTTTTTTTTTTTTTTTTTTTTTTTTTTTAAACAATCCCCTGATTTATAGGCGAAACATTCACAGTACCAACATTCTTTTGAGGATTTTCGTCTTGGAAAGTTCCGCTCCATGGACCGGAAATGTGATAGTCCGATAGAATCAAATCACAAGTTGGTTTAAAAAATAGATCTTTCTCGATACGATTAAGCAAACATTTCTTTAAAGATAAACATTCTTTGTGCTTATATATTACATATGTATAGGCTATGCACATTTCCTGTATGATGGACCAGGAAGCCTCAATCCTGAACGAGGATTCGATTCAATTAGAGAACCGAGCTCGAGTCTTTGTCAACGACCGTTGGCCTGCCAGAAAAAGGAACGCCAAAAAGACTAAAATCTCGAAAATCAACACTGACATTTACGGACGTTAGAAAAATTTGGATATAAACTGGAAACTGTGTTAGTCGTCTCGGTAGCATTATCTCGAAACTCGGAAAGCACGAGATATTTAAAATACGTTCTTCCATAAAGTTTTTCTCTTTGCTAGCGGTGCTTGCTCGAATAACTGAACTGAAATGAAATTGTACATACTCGAAGGCGTGAAATTTGGAAAGCAATATCCCGAAAGGTAAATCTACAAATACTTATTGCGAAACGAGGTTTGACTGAAGAGAAAAAAACGAATCGTTACTTTCCGGTAGGTCTAACGAGATACCGTACCAAAGCGAAAAAAAAAAAAGAAAAAAGAAAAGACACCGTTGTCGGATAAAAGAAGTACACGTTTACCATGTGTAATATAGCTTGTACATATTAGATACGTATTACGATATAATATTGGGAAGGTGTATGTGTGTGTAGCGTACCATTGTAGCTACCATCGTCGCTCCAACAAAACGCACGTGTACAAAAAGTATACTTTACAGTGAAATAAATAAATAAATAAATAAATAAATAAATAAATTTAATTTCTGGAGAAAAAAAAAAAACGAAAAAAAGAAACACGATCGATTCTCATTCACTCCTCGGTCAGTTTCAGGCTGGCTGGTTCGAAGAATGTCCAGCAACGCTGGCTGTTGGCCGTCGTTCGCGACGGAGTACGCGAGACACCGCGTGCCCCTGTCGCCGGTGCAACGCGCGATTTTAGCCGCCGGTGCAGCCGCGATTTCGCTCGCCGATCCCTTTCGTGGTGACATGATCGCGTGCTTGGCAGAAACCACCGGCACTGACGCTCTCTCGTACTGCCGTCAGAAAATGCTAGCAACCTCCGAGGGATCCCGCATCCTTGCCGAGAAACCACGTATATCCTCGTCGACGGTCGATTTTTCCGCGCTAAAGCGATTACCACCAGGAACCCTTGGCAGGATCTATTGCGATTTCCTGGACATTAACGTAAGCTCTCCTTCACTCGATTCGATTCGTTTCGATTCGAAACGCGGTTTCTTGTTCTTTCCGTTCCCTCTCAGTTTTCTGTCTCGTGTTACTTTCCGCTACGTTCGTACGTATATTATAATTTGTAATGAAAATGGCAACTACAGCGGAAATAGCATAACATGTACAGTTTCCCACCTGCTACGCGATGTGAAATCATTTTCAAAAAAAGTGACAAACAAATTTACCATTGTTCGATGTACGAGCTTCGTGCTTTAAAATGAGACCAAGTGGATTGTACGATCTTTTTTTTTTTTTTTTTTGCTTTTCACCGTATACGCGCGAATAGCGTTTTCCAAAACTACGAGAATTCTACGAGTTCTCACAAACTGCATTGGGCGCCGATATTTCTTACTACTGTTATTGTTATTATTATTATTATTATTATTACTAGTGCTACGCCTATTCAAAACTATTGCTGCTGCTGTTGTTGTCGTTGTTGTCGTTGTTGTCACACACGCGATTACGATAATTACGAGCGGCGCGAACATTGGAACAAAGATTTTCTGTTACAGAACGTGTCGCCCGACTCTAGAACAGCAGTCAGGTTCGTTGAAGATACCGAATTAGCGTACGTAATGCAACGATATCGTGAAACGCACGATATCTATCACGCTCTGCTTTTAATGCCAACGACAATGCTCGGGGAAGTGTCGGTCAAGTGGATAGAAGCGGTGCAATTGCGATTGCCCATGTGTTTCAGCGGAGCGATATTTGGAGCGTTCCGATTGCGTCCAAGGTAAATTCACCTCGAGTGAATCTCGAGCGCGATACGTACCTGCGATGGATCGTCTCTTCCATCCTCCCATTTTCCCACTTTTCCTTCAGATTGGACTTCAATCAGTCAATCAATCAGTCGGAAACTCTCTTTTTGGCGTTTCAGGCAACGAAAATTATACGTCGAACATTACCTTCCATGGGCTATCAACACAGCAGTCGAGGCAAAATTTCTGCTGGGCATTTACTTCGAGGAACGTTGGGAGCAGCCTCTCGACGATTTTCATCGGGAAGCGAACATCGTCCCTCTGGTGTCGTTGAAAACGTGATAATAGCGAGAGAGAGACGAAATCTGAAACTCCTCATTTGCACGACGCAACAATGAAATATAGTCAATTTGTTAGATAGAGTGTATAACAATCTTTTATTTTACCGTAACGTTGGAAATATGAAGAATATAATTTTTAGTGGGATACGTATGATTTGTATTACAAATGTCGATCAATGGTAATCGCAAATTTAAAAAAATTTATGCTTTTATAGAAACGTATATACGCGTTTCAAGTTATCAACACGCGCTACTATGAGACTACTACGATCGAGTTACTCGCGAGGATATAATCCAACTGGCAATGTATGGACGTGATATCCTAAAGTGTTCGGTGCGTGTTAGCGGAAATGGATCGATAATTACTTCTCTTCAAGGTCGCGCGCAGTCTAACTCGTATGAAATAATATTCGTAAGTATTGATTGTCCCGTTTGGTTTGTAATGACCCGCGCAAACCCCGTTATTACCGACCATCTTTTTGATATGCAGTTTTTATCTATTACTCGACAGCCAGGCAACCGGCGTAATCCACTCGCACGCGAATTTACTCTTGCGCGCGTCGAACGTACGCAACGTTCCTTTTTTTTTTCTTTTTTTTTTTTTTTCTCCTTTAACTGCCAAAGTCCCGACAACAGCAGTCCG